CGGAAGGACCCACATAAAGTAAAAGCCCAGTCTCCTCTCCCCCATGAGCTAGCTGGCCGGATGAAGAGGTAGTGACAGATTGGGGGAGGAGGGACTTCCCTTGTCCAGTTTCCAGATAGAGATACTGTACTGCTCATTCATCCCTGGCAATATGTGATCGATGTAGCGGCTCCACATAAAGCTGGGTGCTGGAGGGAGGAAGGGGCTATCAGTGAACCAACACCTCTAATCCTGGAGTAGCGACAATTGGCTCTTGTCAAACAGGTCAGGCCTCATAGAGACCATTGATGTTCAGCATAATATGGCTTCCCTCCTCCCCTTGTTCTTGATCAATTGACCCAAGGCTGGCCTACAAGATGCCCAAGTGGGGCCAGACGTTCAGAAGATCGGCGTGCCGGGGGCCCTGCCCAGCGGTGGACTTCGTCCACCGGCCGACGGTGGACTGCGGGGCGTCTGCCCAGTCAGGTCGTACCTCTTGATTCGACCAGTCGGGAAAGATGAGGGTCGTACCTCGGCGGATATTTGGCTCTTGTGACAATTGTCAGATCGTAGATCTAAATCTAAAGTGGACTAGCCATGGACACTTGGCGCGGCTGAAGGCAAGGCCGGTTCAGGTTTGAATCCTAGCAGGAATCCTGATGCTGTCCCTACAAGTACCATGACTTCTTTCCCAAAGAGCGGTGCAAATGAGACCTGGAACCAAAAGGAGATCTGACGTCCTGCGCAGCGAACGAGCACGTGACCGTCCTTCGATGCCAAGAACGAGCCCAGCACTGTCCACAGCGACAAAGGAACCGTCCCTAAAACATCGTCCTTCCCATTTTCACTACAGAATGGGTGCCCACCCCTGGAATGAGAAGAGGGATCCTAAAACATCCTACTTCACGCTCCTTCCCGCCCTCAACTCCTCAGAGCAACGACGAGGTCCACCCGCCGGCCACAGAGCCCTTCGTGCGAGGTCCTTCCGCTCCTTCCCACCTGAGCCTGTGGTGATCAATTCCGTGATGCCTGAGACCTGGGGCCAAGGACGCTTCCAAGGAGGCGCGGCTCCGCCGTTTGGGACCGGCGGACATCGAAGATGCCATGTTCGATGCCATGTGCCATGTTCGAACACCTTGAAGTCATGGGTTTGCAAGGAAATGAACACCCCCAACATCTGGCTTGTAGATGCAATCTTGAAATATCTTGAAATGGGTCAAGGCCCTTTCAGAGTTTCCCGAGTCTTCTTGGCTGACCAATCGCATTGTGTTTCCCAGAGCAGCTTTCAGTCCTTTTCATCTCTTCATTCTGTCGAGGTATTTCCCAGAAGTGATTCATTCTGTCGAAGCAGCAGCTTTATTTCAACGTGGCCCATTCGGCCAGCTCTCCAGCCGCTGAACGTTCCGCCGTTCTCCGCAGGCGAAGAGGTCGTGGCGGTGAACGGGATCGATGTGGCCACGATGGACCGTCGGGGGAGCCCAATGGGCCCGGCACGGTCTTTAGTATGTTTGGGGAACGGTGGGGATCATCGGGATGCCCCAAGAAGATGCGAGCACCGGCCGAAGATTATTCGGGCCAGGTGGGGGCTGTTCCAGATGTCTCATGTTAATGATTGGTCGGGGGAACTTTGAAGAGAGACAGTGTTGCGAATGTAGCTCAGACCAAACGCTTGGGAGGTTCCTTCAGGGGGTCACCTATACCTCTTGTTGAAATGAAAAACAGACCCAGGAACCTGGGGGAACATGGAGCAACCTGGAGGAACCTTGACACCTGCCGTGTGTTTTTAGCATTCGTTTACACATCCTTTTGATCCGTTCAGTGAGGAGTACTCCCCAGCCTCCGTGGTTTGCTTCCGCCGCCGGTGGAGCCACCGGAGTCGGTGGAGCCGAGGTGATGCCTTCCGAGAAGCCTTGCAGGTGAGACCCCTCACCATCAGGCAGGAGTGACACACCCCTGGCAGTGGGCAGTGATGGTGTCCGTGTTGTGCGGAGCTTTGGATGGTACCCTAGTTTTTGAGCCATACCCAAACCTTGCTCCTTAAAGGCCTTAAAGCCTTTGAGTCTTGTGATGTCTACAGGTGTGGCTTTCTGGATCTGCTCAGCGTAGGGGCGCGGTGTTCTATCAGAACATGACTTCAACAAGCACAACAAGATCCAAACAATTCATGGACACCAAGCTTGTTCATGAACACGGAATGGGACAATGGCCTCGGGATCCCAAGATCGACCGTATAGGATCCCAAAGGAGAATAGACGGAATAGCCCGTGAAGCCTTTGTGGGGGATTCCTTCTTTGCCAGCCCTGGAAGTCATTGCCTCGGCAGCGGCGTGAAAAACCGGGCCCTACCAGGTTTCGTGTTCCAGCTCAGGCCTCATCGCACACGGGTGGGGGTGGACAACAGGCTGTTGAGTCAAAAGAGGATATCTTGGTTTTCGGTTTCGGTGTCTAAACCTGCAGAGCTGGAGCAATCCGACCTGGCCTGTTCCATGATTATGTAGCCCCTTTGCGGTGTCATAAGGTCTCTTGGTGTCCCCTGGCAAGTGAAGGTATACTGGTATACTTCAAACTTCAGACATTCACCTGTGCAACGAGCATTGGCATCCTTTTGAGGGGATAGTGACCCATGCCGTGGGCCGGGAATCCATTCGGGGTTGACCGGGAATTTTTTGGCGGAAACGAGTTGGTATCCTTTCGCATATGTTCATCAGTCCGGGATAAGAATTTCAAGACCCCAGCGAATCACTGAGAGCATGTGTTCTTTTCTTTTTCTAGACTTGAGACTGAGGGGTGTATGTTCATGTCAACAAAGCACAACACTAACAGATGCGCCCTATTTTGCTACAATCAGACCCCCTTTCCCAGTGTATTCCTGTTTATTGACTTTTCTTGCAGTAGCATATTGACTTGCTTGCTCACGGTATTTCCTTTTCTTGTCTTCCCGTTTTCCCTTACTTTTTTGAGCCTGTGTCATCCCCTCCGCTAAGTGGCATGTTGGGCAGGATCAGCTTGATAGCGTGGTGGCAGAGAAAGGTGTCGAGAAGATCGGCCTGTCAGGGCATCCAAGTGGATGGAGAAGTTGGATGTCATAGGGAGGTACTCGTAGTTGGTACTTGAGCATCTTGAGCCGGATGCGATCTAGAAGTGGGGTGAAGGCTTGAGGGGCGGTACTTGAGCGGGATGTTCTTCTGTGCTCAACCCAATTGAATCCTCTGTAGTTTCATCTAATCCAGACTATCGAAAGATAGCAGGGGGGTCCAAGTGGAGAGGGGGACTCCATAGTTTGCCGGCTTCGGACCACTTTGGACCTGTGGACTACTGTTAGTGTTGTAAGGTGACATGAGATGAGTTCACACATGTTCATTGCCTCTTATGTACAGTAAATGATCTAAAAGTCCATGCGCTAGAAAGCTAGCGGTCAACAAGCATGTACCAACTGGGTGAAAAGCTGTCACCCCCAAGTGGCAGGGCCAGTTGCTTCGCCGACTCTTTGGGATCCCAAAAGTACGGAATCCGAGCCCGTCGATCCTGAAGGCTTCCGCATCGATCGATCTGCTAAGAGTGTTTCAACAGAGTGTGGTAGATCTGCTAAGCTGAAGGAAGACGTTTCACTTAACGTTCTCCGATGAGTTTTTCTTTCGTTTGGCCACACTCAGCCTGCTGATAGGGTCTTCCAGCAGCTTCCGCCGGCGCCCGTGATTGTGAGCAAAGTCCAGGAGAGTGTTTGTTTCGCCACATCATGTCATTGGATTGGTGCTGGTTTGGTGAGGGTGGCTTCTTTGCAACTTCATGATCTCTGATCTCTCAAAGGAGTGCTTGATTTACCAAGTGCCCAACAACAGTCCAACTATCATCAAAAGCAATACTACTTCAGTAGGAGTACGCGATTCGGCAAAAAAACCTGACTTTTACTGTTTGCAATGGTTTGCTTGACTTGGGAGCAGGTATGCAGCCAACCCAAGATCCCATCCAAGTAATATTATATATATATATATTCATACATCCATTAGGAATAGGTACATGATCAGGCACACTCACCTACGGATTGACAAATTGAGGCCAAATGAGGAACCTTCCTTCACAGGGATTCGAAACGCAGACATGCACATCCTCATGCATGCACACTACAGTATCTCCCACAGGAATATGTGAATTGTGCACCCTACACTTCAAAGACCTTTTTTGGCAACACCAACGTTTGGGAACTTCATTTGGCACCGACCCTTTGACTTTCTCAGCATGCCGGACGCCGGAAAACGGGCAGAGCTTAGGAGGGATCCTGGGCGGCTCAGCAAGGCTTCGAGGGCGGAGAGGAGATCGTAATGGTGAATGGAAAGGAGCTGAGCCAGATGTCACTCGGTGCAAAACTTCGGCAAACTCGCTGAGAGACCAAGGAAAGGGCGCCCCCCAAAAAAGTACCAAACAACATCTAGCCGGACATGCGAACACGGAGTATAGAACAGTGGCTGCAGACCACGCTTGGCTCCGCTGGGGAGAAGAACGACCGGTGCAAACGCGCGCGAGCGGCTTGCGGCTCCGTTGGGCCTTCGCTCCTTCGCTCCGACCGGAAGGCCTACGGGTTTACCATGGCCTTCCAAGGTCGGCGGATGACTTCAAAAAGGCCCTCAAGGAGGAGCGACCTTTAGCCTTGAGGCAGGCTCTCGGACTGCAGGGAGACCTGCAGGAAGACCTGGGCGGGGCGGAAGGTCCAGGGGGCCGAGAGTTCGGTCCCGGCACTGAGGTCCAAGCACGGAAGTACCATGGATTCGGGCAAACAGAGAACAATGGTTCCAAAAGAAGCAACACACCACTTGTAGGAAAGCCAATTGAGCATCATGTGCCATCTTGGGGTGTCTATTTTGTTCAACAGTTGGGCAAGAGGATGCAAGAAATATCCCAAGGCAGAGCAAAAAACTGCAGAAACAGATAGCAAATGACATACAAATAGAAGCAACACAAACATGGGTAAGCAAACTAGATATATAGTCAAAGTGAAAACAAACAAAGAAAATAACAAATTCAAACACAACACAAGCAATTTTTAGGCTGGGCATGCAGCAGGATTTCTTTTGTGTTTGTTCTCAGAACCTCACAATTACTAGGTGTTGACAATGCGGGGTGCCCACTGCCATTCACAGAAGACACATAAATGGCAGCGGGTCACAGTCCAAAGCAGTCCGAGTTACAGATCACCTCGGTGACGACGGCTTCGCAGGTGTGGAAAAATCCGGAGACCGACCAAGCCTCCAAGATCCAGGGAAGATCCGCCGCATTTTCCGGATCAAGAAAGCAATGCATCTTAATTCAATCTCGACTCTTAAGATGCCAGTCGTGATGTGGATCCTTCTTGCGCCCTTTCTTCTTGCACGAGTTGGAAGTGCCGTGGATTTGAAGAGAAACGCTAGTCAATGCGTTTCAAATCGAGGCCATGCATACACAGAACCCGACTGTCTATCAGTGGCAAAAGCATACGGTTGTAAGTGGGAAAGCAATGAATGCGTTTGTGCAAACGGAGGGGTCTATTCGAAGCGGAGCCACTACTGTTGGCCGCCTGAAATCGACTCCACAACCACCACAACGACTCGGCAACCTGCAGTGCCTGCAGCTGAAGACCCCAGTGGCCCGAGCGTTTGCCGCTCCAATAGTGGCCGGCCATACGATGAAGACCACTGCAATACAACAGCCAAAGCATATCATTGCGAATGGCGCGATGGAGCTTGTGTTTGCTCCAATGGTGGCACGTACGCCAAGCGCTCCCACTACTGTTGGCCACCAACAGACCCCACCAGCACTACGACAACCACGACAACACCGTCAGTGACCCCTGCTGCAAATGAAAGCACCTGTGTGAGCAACAGGGGATTTCCCTATGACTCGTATGATTGCTCATGGGTTGCCAAAGACTACGGCTGTGTGTGGCAGGCTGGGATGTGCACCTGTCAAAACGGTGGTGTTTTTTCCAAAACGAGCAAGAAGTGCTGGCCGCCAAGCTCGACACCGACGCCACCGCCATGTCAGGAGTGCGGCAACTCGTCAGGACGCTGGGTGAAAGATATTTGGGATAGGTTCGGAAAATCTTTGAACATTGGAAACTTTGCAGGTCCTGTCCATTACTTTTCCGACTTAAACTTGATCCACTTCCTGTTACTTTGTATTGGGGGGCGGCTCAAAGCCATCGACCCAAAAGCCATAAACGAGTTCTTTGGAACTAAGCTTTGTTTGAGTTCAGAGCTTGCGCGTTCCGAAGTTGTAGATCAACTTGTTGCTGCAAAGCTGGTCCAGACCTAAAAAGAGTAACCCAATGCAAGAACGACCAATGAATGAGCGTAGCCCCCCTTTGACCGGTCAAATGTTACCAAGTCCCACGAAACAACCAAGCCCCTTGATTGATGCATGGGTGGCCTGTGAATGTGGCGCCGAAGCCCCAGCGAAATCGCGCGCTGCCCTGGCGCCCAGGATTTCAGTGGATCTATTGGACGTTGACCCTGCTGCCGGTTGGAGTGTGTGTGGCCTGTCTCTTCCCCTGCACACGTCGCGGAATGCGCCAAGGATGCCACCGTCTCCGCCGGAGACAGCGGGCCCTTCCAGGATCCAATCAGCCCGTGCTGTTGAATGTAGAGGACAACGTGGAGGTCGTCTCACAGGGTGCATCTCACCGATGAGTTGGTGGTCATGTGTTGCATCGTGAAATTGGCAGATGCCCGGAATCATGAACAGTTTCTTGCCAGTGCGCTGGACTGGTGCCATGCAGATCTGAAATTGGATCTGCCAAAATGCGGAATTGTGTGTTTGATCGTTGAAGAGGGGCGCGACCCTTCCTTTCAGCACGTCCCATCGTCCCGTTTCTTTGAGAAGGGATCTGGTGTTCGTCCAAAAACGACACTGTACAGTGAACTCCTGCGGGAAAACTGATCTGGATTGCATTCAGTACGTTTTGAATTTTGGGGGGTTCACCAACCACCGTCAACGTCACTGTGGCATAACTGCTTCCACTGTTGAACGTGTGGTATGCGTGGATATGGATGATTGATGGTTTGTGGTTATTTCGCACATGGATGGATGTACCGTAGGCCTACCAGCCACCCAGCTGTAGTCAGATCCCGAAAGGGAACTGTAAACTTTGGTTGTGAAACATACCCCACCTGACCCCCAGAGGTTTCAGACGGTCCAGGTCACAGAATCTTGGGTTCGAAGAACTCGCATCGGTTTGGCTTGATCAAGTGGTACTTTCCACTTCAACTCAGGCCTGGTGCCAGGATTCGGCGCCTTGGATTCGGCGTGGTGCGAAGAAATTAACACAAGCATGGCTTCTGCAAAAAAAGGGAATAGGCCGGTCAGCTGGTCTAGAGTCTAGAATTCGTGAAAGAAGAGGACACTAGACCCCATTGGTTGGGGGTTGTCCTGGGGGGTGCCAAGAACCCGGACCGCACTCCCCGTTTCGCGAGCCCAAAACGCAGGTTTCGCCCTCGAGAGCTTCCAGTTCGGGGGTCCCGGATAGAAAATCGATGGGAGGAAGCGGATGAAACCGATGAAACGGTCCAAGAGTATAGGGCACCCGATGGTTGCTTTGGGTGTACGTGAAATCATGAACTCAAAGGTATCAAAAGGTGGTAGAGTCAGGTTCAACCAACAAGACTGGGATGCACCTGGAAGGCTTTCGGTTTCCGATATAGACACCAACTGAAAGAAGTGTATCACAAACTCTAACTCAGGATCTTTTGTGGCAATGAAACATAGCCACGTTGGATGCGGAAATTCGACTCCACCAAAGGCTGTGAATTTGTATAATATAATATATAGAATATAGATAATATATGATAATATATATATATAATTAACTGTACCTGGACCCTCCAAGGGGTGTCCAATGGACTACCCCACCTACCTATAGGCTTCCAGACAGGGCACCCCGATTGGAGGGCGTTCGACCCGACACTGAAGCCAATCACCTCCATCGCACCCGCCGGGCGCCGCTGACCCTGGCGCCGCGGCCAGAAGGACGGCGTGGAAGAGCTCGTGGCGGAGAAAGAGGTCGGGAAGATCGGCCTGTCAGGGCACCCGGACGATCCGGTGAGGTCCAGTGCGGTGACGGGGCGGCGGGAAAATGGTCCAATGCGGTGGGCGGTGGGTTTGTGTGACCAGCTGCCAGCTGCCCCACGAAACAAGTTGGTCCTCGCAAAATGGGCTGCCCAGTGGCCAGTATTCATTCTTGATTTGATCCGCCAATTCAACAAATTTTATGCTTCGGAGCCAGGATGATGGCCAGGTCACCGCACGCTGGCTGATGAATTGCTGAGACAGATTTGGTACCTTCAACAGTCCACGGTTCCAATCACTAGAGGGAGCTACTGGAGGAAGGTTCTAGAGACTTCAAGAACCAAGTCCTGTAATTCACCTTTCGTCCATGGTAGGTATTCAACCACCTGTTTTGATTCATTTGGGTTGTCAGCCAGGGCGCAGGACCCAGGGGCCACTCCCAGCACCTCATCTGAGGTCCTTTCTCAAAATGCCCCCCGAGCCGGTCATCGTGAACAAGGCAGGGCTGAATAACGACAGCTGGAAGAACCACGGGTGATGGGCGGTGTCAAGCCACCCTGAAAAAGATGTTGGTTCTTCTTGGGAGGAATCAAAGGTTGAAACCACACACCAAGATAAATCAAGGTCAGTTGATGGACATGAGATCCGTTTCAGACGAACCGAAGCCAGTGGAGCAAAAAAACGAAGGGAATGGATGGTGAGATAGCCATTCACAGATCGAAACTCCCTCTCTCTCTCTCTCTACTATTGAAGACAGACACCGCTCAGGCCATTCAGACTATCCGAATCCGGTCATCATTTCTGTGCAGGTGTCAATTGCTTCTTTCATGTGGCGGAGGCATCCTCCGATGAACTAAAACAGAAGCACCTTCCCAAGAAACTTTGGATTTTGTGCTCTGATTGGTCCCTCCATAGACCCAGTCAAGGGGAAGCCTCAACATCATGGGGCGACACTGTAGGCCTCGGCGACCTCAACGGCTGATGAGCAAATCACCCCAATGGTAACCTTTACTCAGGATGATTCCTCCCAAGAACCAAGATCTTTTTCAGGGTGGCTTAAAACCACCAACCAGACCTTCGAACTACTCTAGAGTACCCTACGCCCCGTCGAAACGCCTTTTCGACGAGGTGATCCCAGGCTGCTGGGCTGAAGAGGTTGGCTTCCAAGGTGGTGACTTGACCGAAAAGGGGCCGGCTCCAGTTTGGACAAAAAAACACGTCGGGCGATTTGTGTGTTTCATTTTTGCCACGGGTGAATGGATTTCAAATTGTGGGTTTGAGATGCTGGAAAAGAGGCCTCAGATCTCCCTTTTTCTGTGGGCAAATGCAGACATCATTTATAGTACTGTAAAACAAAGTGCAAGAAGGCTGTCTTGCTACCCGACGAGGCCTGGAAAAGCGCTACAAACCAACCCACGCAACCCTGTGCCAACCTCCAAGCCACACGTCCAATACATCCTTTTGCCCACGTACGCACGTTCACGCCGGGCTAAGACGTGCAGCGAAGCCGCCCGAAGCCGCCGAAGCCCTCCGTGCCGAGGCGAGGAGATCGTGGCCTTGGACGGGGCGCCGGTGGCCTCGATGACGCCGGAGACCTTCAAGGCGGCGCTGCAGCAGCGGCCCCTGCGGCTGAGGCCGGCGTCCTCCACGGGCACGGTGACACACCGGTGGGGTGCCGTGCCAGGATCCGTTTCGTGGAGGGGGCGTTGGATGGGCGGAAACCACACGGTTTGGCTGCGTGGTTTTGGGGGGAGAGTGGTGAGATGGAGATGTTGGAGATGTGGATGGAGAGATGCGGACAGTAGGTATTGGCGCGGAAAAAACAGACATGGCAAGACTGGGTACAGCGGGGGGAGATAGCTAGCAAGTTAGCAAGTAAATCGATTTGATGTGTGCTGTGTGCTTGGTTATCCAGAATGACCATTGGACAGTGAATGTTGGAAAACCAAAAGAGACTCCAAAGGGACATGCAGAGTCACATGAGCACTGGGGACCCAGTCGCAATCCTTTTTCACAGTCTGCCTTCAGCATTCATTGAATCCTCGCAGGTTTCGTCCTGCTGGGCACAAGGAGCAGGAGGAGCAGGAGGAGGAGGAGGAGGACGACGAGGCCTAAGTTGGCACGCTCGTTGACACAAGTCTAGCGGGGTGAAGAAGGCCCAGAACCGCTGTTTTGAGAGAGCTCCGCACACCAATATCCAAAGAGGTGCTATTCGTACCACCAGGATAGATGAACAACCACTTGGACCTGTACCTGTACCGATTTAGATCTTCTTTTCAAAAGCCTGTACTTAGAAGTGTCCGATCCAACTAAGTTAAGCATCGTTTACGTTTTGTTTGATGGCTATGTTCTGTTCCTTGACGGAGAAAGTGCAGTAAGATGATGCAGTAAGCCACCAACTGTGGCTCAATTTTGACCTCCGTAAGCAGCACAGGACTGCAACATATAGGGGGCCGTGGCTGAGTGGATGAGACAAACACTCATTGCTTGATTTCTTCATCTCATACACTCTGACTCACCAACATGGAAGTGGAAAAGACAGCCCCCATGTTGCTCTTCGAGCAGGGGGGATTCATATGGATTCATGACGTTTCCACTTCTGAGTGTAACTGTTAAACTCCTTTCCGAACTAAGGTCTTGAACATCATGGCGTTTCCTCATTGGTCTTGAGCACCACCACCTCCTTAGGTTCTCCCCGGTCTCGGTCCATCTCTCGGCGCAGTTCTGCGCAGTTCTGCCGATGTCGGTCCGGCAGGAGCCCGTGGAGGTGACTGCGGATGCCAAAGTGAAGAAGATCGGTTTGCCACTGGACTAGATTCGCTTCAGCTGAGGAGGTTTAGGCGGCATGACTTCCCTGCAGAATCCATATCAATCTACAGCACTCAAACGCTACAGGTCACCTCCCATTTGTTGGATCCAAAGAACCTGGATACACCTTTGAATAATCCTTCACGGCCTTGCTCGCACGAGGGTTTGGCTTGAATTTTTCAAGACATCAGTCATCGGGGGAGCTCCTCCTGCCTCGAGGTCCTTCCGGGAGCTTCCTCCGCAGCCGGTGGTCGTGAGCAAGGCGGGTGCAAAAACGGTGGGGAAGACAAACAAGTGCTAGTGTAGGCAAGTAGAGGCCCATCATGTGGGGTCGAGCTATGCCTGTTTGCGACCATCCTTCTTGCTGTCTGCCTTTGGCACTGGTCTTGGGGAAGGTCCCTCTTTGTCTCAAAGGAGCTCAATGTTTTGAAGGCCTCTGTTTCGCTCTCCCTCATTTTGACAGGCTCATGCAGCCTTTCATGTTCATTTCATCAGGGTGCTATTTTAGTGAGTGCAGTGAGTGATACATTTCTTTTTTCCTCTCGCCATTCTTCTTGTCCTTCTTGATCAGCGTCTTCAATTCACCGCTGGTCCATCACCGTACGGTGCCAGGCCCCCGGAGTTTTCGGTTTGGCCACCGTGAACATGTTCCGGACGATGCCCTCGTGGTCGTTGCATGGGATGAATCGAACGCAACCCTGCCTTGGAACCCCCCCATGTCAATCGGTTTGGAGACATCTTGAGACTCTCTAAAGCAGCCAGCTTTGATGTAAAGAATCTGATTCTTCCCAAACGACAAGAACAAACGGACAAGAATTCTTGGTTCTTTTGTGGACTCCTAGGACTCAACCTTAAGTCTTGCCCCAAAGCAAATATCCAATCATTCATTCGTGTCAAAATTGGATCACCTCAAAAGATTCTCGGAAGACTCCAACTCCAACATCCTAAAAACATCTTGGAAGCCTCAAACGATCACCCCCCAAAAAATAGAACGGAGGAAAGTCCAGACAACCCGTGAGAAAAAACGAAGAGCTCCCCACGAGCTCATGAGGTGACATCCTCGCTTT